GTACCTAATTATTGTCTTCCTGCCATTCCAGGAAGACAAAGAGAAGTTTCTCTTAGACTTTTTCAATACTATATTTACATTCAGAAATCTGTTTCTTTTAAAAAGAAAATATTTTAAAAGAAAACTTCATCTTAATCCATTTATTTATTCAGGAGTGGAGGCTGTGATGATTGAATTACTTATGCCAAATAAAGAGCCACTCCAGGATTACATTTATTTCCATGCAGATTTATCTTGCAGCAAAGCCTTAGAATATTTTAAAATACAGAAAAATGCAAAGTTTTAAAATATCTCTTAGTTTGGCAGTTTTTTACCCTTCATATTTCAACCATAATATCGCTCTTCTTTCTTCTGCCAAGTCAAAAACTGATCTTTTGATTTTAAATAAAATCTGTGTATTGGGGTAACAACTTTTTCCATTCATACTTTCACCTTAACCTTTCCTCTTTTTTCATTAGCTGGAATAAACAAGAACTATTAATTGAATGTAATAGTTAAATTAAAGCAAGAACATACTTCACCTACTGGTGGGAGTGAGTAGTGCACTGTCATTTGCATCCTGACTGCAGAGAAATGTTCTTTTACATTTGTTATTTTTGAGTTCATTCCTCTAAGCCAGTGGTCGCCAACCAGTGGGCCGTGAGAAAATTTTGGTGGGCCATAGAGAAATCTCACGCCCAGAGCACCCTCCAAAGTAATTAATCCAGGCTGTACAGAAACACAAGGCTGCGCTGCCCACATGGCCCACGGGAACCCTCCCACCCATTCACTCCCTACCCGGCAAACTTGCCTGCTATATTGCTATGTTTCCGACCATCAGCTATGAGATTTAGATTAGCTAGGAAGCAGGAAATGGTTGGATTTCTTGCTTTCTAGCTAGTCTTTAGATCTTCAGCTCTGCTTTTATGCACAGCCGAGCTTCCCTTAGAACTGAAGGTTCTATTATTCAGTGAAGACTCACGACAAGCAAAGTTTATGTGACAGACTGAGCTAGCCAATGGCAGATAGATAGATCACTGAATAAATCTGTGATTCTGTGAGCAATTCAATCTTCCTGCCTGCTTTGTCTGATTTTGGGTAAAAGTTGTTCTTTTTTATAAAAAATTCAATATTTATATAAATATTTATAATATTTACATATAAGCCATACCCAGCCAGTCACATGACCACCAAGCCACACGCACAAATTAGGCCACGCCCAGAGAACTGGTTAGAGGTCCCTGGGATTTAAAATTATCAGTTTGGTGGTCCCTGAGGTCCAAAAGGTTGGTGACCCCTGCTCTAAGCTATCAACATTGTTTTTGAGGTTAATTCTGTCTTCAAAGATATTAGCTATCCAGCCAGATTTTGCATCAACTATAATTTTATACTCTTTCTGCTTCTTCATCTAAATCAACCACCAAACATAAACAATAGAAGCCAGGAATGAATCTTATAGGACTGTACTCTATATCCTATTGTGGGTTCATGCAGAACTGATGTTGAAGTTTACAATGCCCAAACCAGCTACATATCCACATTATTATTACATTTCTAATTTGTCATGCTACTTTAGCTGTCAGCCCAAACTTAAACAGGTGACTAAACAAAATAGTGATGTGCTTTCCTGAAATCAAGGTGTACTATATCCATAGCATTCTGACAATCTACTAAGAAAGATATTCAAACCAAAATTGAGATAGATTTTGTGCTGCTTTGAAAAAGCCAAAAAAAGTATCTTGCTTGAACATATAATGATAAAAGTTTTTTTTAAAATTCAGTCAATTGAAATTCAGAGACTTGTATGGCATTTTAAAGATTAATAGATTTATTGTGAAATAATTTTTTCCACAAAAATGTAACTAGCCTAATGTGTTATCTTCATTTAACACAGTTACAAAAAAGAAAAAAAATGTAAAAAAGGAATTATTAGCAAATTTGATTTGATTTACAGCTCATTCAGGAATGAGCAAAGTCTCTTGCCTCAGTTGCTAAATTATTTACAAGTTAATATTATAAAATCAGATCTGTTCTAGACAACTTTTCATGCCTGATTGGAAGACATTCTCTTTTGTTGTGTAGAATGTTCCAATGTTTTAATGAATGGTTTTTAATCATTATGCACACACACACACATATTATGTAGATTATATCCTTCAAACTAATACATACACTAATGCTTTTTACATCTAAATTATCACCTTAAAACATAACTCTGCTCACTATTAAAAATGTCCAGATTAAATAAATTCTAAAAATATAAAAGACAACACTGCATCCGAATGTTCACTGAAGTCAAAGTTAGAGAAACAATTAGCTCTTAAAAAGTTGCCCATAAATACTTAAACATAAAGATTAATTAATGAATAATTGTGAGAATAGTGTAAATGCATTGAATTTAATCATTTTCTAACAAGGAAGTATTTGCAAAGTTGTACAAACTACAGACCATTTTCCCAACGTTATAGTTGCTTTGTCAATTCAGTAAAATAAGTGTTTCCAATATGCTTGTTGAAATTATAGCTGCAAAATACATCATCCATGCAATTGCAAGTATAAGTCCAGATGTACTATTTCCTAAAACAAATCTATGCCAGAATTTATCTACATAAGGATTTAATCTAATTAGTAATTCTCAATGTAATGTAAAATATTTATAATTGCCACTTAAATATCTGATGATTTAGAGTAGATGGTTGTGATGCAAACCAACAATTCAGCCGGTGCCTAATCAAAAATACATAATGGAAAAATCAAACTGGTGCTCACTATAGATTTAGTATGAAGGTTTCAGCTGCTGGAAAATGAACCAGGAAAGGTTTGTCTGTGTTACAATGTAGCATATTAATCATGCTAATGCAAATACACTGCTCAAAAAAATAAAGGGAACACAAAAATAAGACATCCTAGATCTGAATGAATGAAATATTCTCATTAAATACTTTGTTCATTACATAGTTGAATGTGCTGACAACAAAATCACACAAAAATTATCAATGGAAATCAAATTTAGCAACCCATGGAGGTCTGGATTTGGAGTTACATTCAAAATTAAAGTGGAAAAAAACACTACAGGCTGATCCAACTTTGATGTAATGTCCTTAAAACAAGTCAAAATGAGGCTCAGTAGTGTGTGTGGCCTCCATGTGCCTATATGACCTCCCTACAATGCCTGGGCATGCTCCTGATGAGGTGGTGGATGGTCTCCTGAGGGATCTCCTCCCACACCTGGACTAAAGCATCCCCCAACTCCTGGACAGTCTGTGGTGCAACGTGATGTTGGTGGATGGAGCAAGACATGATGTCCTAGATGTGCTCAATTGGATTCAGGTCTGGGGAACAGGCGGGCCAGTCCATAGCATCAATGCCTTTGTCTTGCAGGAACTGCTGACATACTCCAGCCACATGAGGTCTAGCATTGTTGTGCATTAGGAGGAACCCAGGGCCAACCGCACCAGCATATGGTCTCACAAGGGGCCTGAGGATCTCATCTTGGTACCTAATGGCAGTCAGGCTACCTCTGGTGAGAGGGCTGTGCGGCCCCCTAAAGAAATGCCACCCCACACCATTACTGACCCACTGCCATGCTGGAGGATGTTGCAGGCAGCAGAACGTTCTCCATGGTGTCTCCAGACCCTATCAAGTCTGTCACATGTGCTCAGTGTGAACCTGCTTTCATCTGTGAAGAGCACAGGGCGTCAGTGGCGAATTTGCCAATCTTGGTGTTCTCTGGCAAATTCCAAATGTCCTGCACGGTGTTGGGCTGTAAGCACAACCCCCACCTGTGGACATCAGGCCCTCATACCACCCTCATGGAGTCTGTTTCTGACCGTTTGAGCAGCCACATGCACATTTGTGGCCCGCTTGAGGTCATTTTGCAAGGCTCTGGCAGTGCTCCTCCTGTCCCTCCTTGCACAAAGGCGGAGGTAGCGGTCCTGATGCTGGGCTGTTGCCCTCTTATGACTCCTCCACATCTCCTGATGTACTGGCCTGTCTCCTGGTAGTGCCTCCATGCTCTGGACACTATGCTGACATACACAGCAAACCTTCTTGCCACAGCTCGCATTGATGTGCCATCCTGGATGAGCTGCATTACCTGAGCCACTTGTGTGGGTTGTAGACTCCGTCTCATGCTACCACTAGAGTGAAAGCACTGCCAGAATTCAAAAGTGACCAAACTATTAGCCAGAAAGCATAGGAACTGAGATGTGGTCTGTGGTCACCACCTGCAGAACCACTCCTTTATTGGGGATGTCTTGCTAACTGCCTATGCTTTCCACCTGTTGTCTATTCCATTTGCACAACAGCATATGAAATTGATTGTCAATCTGTGTTGCTACCTAAGTGAACAGTTTGATTTCATAGAAGTGTGATTGACTTGGAGTTACATTGTGTTGTTTAAGTGTTCCCTTTAGTTTTTTGAGCAGTGTATATATGTCTTGCAGGGTGGTGTTTTTTTTTCCCCGAATCACCCTTTCTGTGGTTAAAAAAACATTGTGTTAGAGGGACTGCAAGCCTACAGTTAAGATGAACCAGTTCTCTGGGTCCATTTAGCGCGTCGCCAGTTCACGAGGGAAAATTTACGGAAGGGCCGAGACTGAGGGCCTCACCCATCCTTAAGCCTCCATCGTCCTCAAAAAGTGCGGCAAATAAACGCACAGTCCACGAGCAGAGGGGAGGGGGAGGGTGTCCTCACCCTTATTTAATGGGGCAGGAAGGAGAAAACGCGGGTTTTGAATAATGGCAGGCGAGCCCCCCGCGCCAGGAACTGCGCGTTTAAAGAGCGCGAGAGCTGCGATGCACCTGTTGGCTCTGGGGAACTCCTCAGAAACAGCGGCTGCAGCTGCCAAAGGCCCGAGTCCGGCGCACCCTAGTGTGCCTTGGCGCCCTGCCTCCCTTCTGGGACAACCGCCTTCTCAGCCCACCCAGGCGGACCAGAGCCTGCTCAGCGTTGCTCATGCGCCCGGGTGGCATTTAAAAGGCAAAGCGCGCGCAGGGACGGGCGAATACCACCCGCGCGGCTCCATCCAGCTGCCACCTGCGATCGCTTCATCTCTCTCTCTCTTCATCGCCGCGCCTTCGCACCTTCTCTCCCTGACGCTTCATAGAACCATATTTCCACCTCCCGGCTCTGCAGCAGGGTGGACGTCTCCCCAATTCTCTTCTGGGGAGTGTGAGCCCTTGCCGACCGGGAGCCAAAAGAGAGCCCAGCCCTCAGCCCAAAGGTATTGTGTCCCCCTCTTTTCACTCTGGGGAGGACGAGAGAATGCCTCGCCGAGTTTACCCGTACTCTGACGGCGCCCCTTCTCTCTTCTTAGGTGCTTCCATGGCGCCCGTCCTGCTCTTCCTAGGTGAGTATCCCGCGCTCTGTCCCCTCGCGACCCGTTGGGGAGCGGCAAGCAAACGCGCATCTTCCACGGGAGTGAAATAGCTGAGGGAGGGAGGCTCGACGGCAAGCTCTCTCTTGCCTTCCGAGCAATGGCGAAGCCTGCCTTTTTGTCTCCGAGGGCTTCGTGTAAGCCCCTTCCTTCCCCGCCTTTGATTGCAGGTGTCGTCTTGGCGGCCGAATTGGCGAAGGGAGTTGAACGTTCAGGTGAGTTCAGAAACATCTTCGTCGGTTGTGGCTTTCCTCCGTCGTTATAAGGAGGTTCTTTTATTTTCCGTCTTCAGAACGTTTTCTTTGACGTTTGTTAATTCTTAAAATTTCCAGGATCTCTTCGGTGTTCAGTTTCTGCAGCTGAAGATGGTTTTCTATTTAATCTTCATCGTTCTAGCGCCAGGATATTGTTTCCTTTTTCTTCAACGTAAAGAAACCGTTTTTAAGTGTTAAATTGCTGTATAGGAGGAAATGTAGAATTATTTCTCCTCCACTCCCCAATGTATTATAAAATATCAAATAAGTGACTCTATTATTGCTTTAACCAAGATACAGCAGTCAAGAAAGTCGTTTTTACACTTTTATAGAAATAAAGTTAAATTAAAATTAGATAGGAACATAGTACAGTTGCGAGTTTTTGAAAACCAGTATCGATGTAGAAGAAAATAGTCACATTCAACTTTTCCTAAGTTCTAAAGCTTAAAATCTAAAGATACACTTTTGAGATACAAAATACTTCAAAGGCAACTGGGGAATTCTGAATCTTACCTGCTTGCAAATGCTTTCATAACTAGTTAAGGTAGAACAGAACTTTATGCTAATTTCTTTTGAAAAATGATTTTTCCAGCTAGAATATTTGTGAAATTAAATTACAAAAGCTGATGGGTTCATTATTATAGAAATTGGGGTGAAGGGGAGTTAAGCTTCAAAATGTGATACAGAAAAACAAAACATATCTTCCACATATGTCAACCTATTATTACCATTATTAGGATTACATTACCTTACTAAATCAGTAGTTCATTTCAATCTTCTTTTTCATAATACAGATAGACAATGGGCATTTGGGGGTCCATGTTTGAATTTTTTTACCTCTGTATTGTTTTTCAAGTCACTCTTTTGCTATTCCTTTTCTTTCTGGTGTAGAGCTGATGAGCTGAGTTTCTTCAGGACTATTCAGGCTGAGAAGGTCTTTGCGAAGGGGTTTGTTTTGGTGCTAAAGATGACTGGGTTTTTAATAATTTAATTAAATTTATCAAAGAATAAAATACAAATTAAAATGAACTTAGTCAGACTTTTCTTTTAGGCTTATTGGACAAGGAACTTGAAAAAAATCTGGTACCTTCCTATGATATATGTTGACAGCAGTAAGACAAAAATTGAAATATATTCTAATTCCCACAATAGATGAATGACTAGAAAAACTGATGGAACTAGCAGAGATGGCCAATTAACTGCTCTAATCAAAGAAAAGTGTATATCTAACTTGGTTTCTACTTGGAAACCACTTCTGGATTTTAGGCTTCAGATGAAAAAAAAATGAAACTTTGGCTTTGGATTTTGCTGGTTAAATAAACTTGTTGTTCTAGAAATAGCTAGTATGTATTAAGTATGTAAAAATTAAAAAGTTGAAACTGTACTGCTATTGTTTTATTCTGTGCTTTAAAAAAGTTGGAAGTCAATTCTTTTCTTTCTTTTTTCCCTTTACCCTTCAAGATGAATGTTGTAGGAGAAATAAACTCTGCTTTTATAAGTGAAGAAAAGTATTCTGAGTTTTTCCATACAATTCTGAGTTGGACAGAAGAATAGAAGCTTTATGTATCATTAATGAAAAAATTGGTTGTTACTATAAAAGAAACCAACTTTATCAATTATAGTGTCTCGTATTTAAAGATAGGTTTTTAAACATCAGAGATAACATGCAGATAATTACAATAGAACCCTCTTTTAAGATTTTATATTCATTCATACTATTGGTTTGTGAATTATTGCAATACACACACACACACACACACACACACACAAAATTGGTCCAGAAAGCTGATTTATTGCTAGAAGCCTGATCAGTGTCTTCATATTCTCCCATAAATTCATTACATATGTTTTATTGTCTATGGAAGTCATATGTCTTCCATAGACAATAAAATAGTGGTGCATTTATGTGGAAGAACAGTCTTTAAAAACACTATATTTTGCAACTTTTTATTCAATATCCAGAAGAGCGAATTGATATTCCCAGTCATTCATAATTATAGTGATTAATAATTATAATTTATTGCAACATAAATAGATCCTTACAGCTTTTAAAAACATATAGTATAATTATGATAAAGACGTGCTAAATTTCCTCTTGGTTACCATAATTTGGATTGTCATATTTCTCCCCTCCATCATTACTGCATTTCAAAACTTTAATATTTTTAACAACTAGGAGGGAAGCATACTCTTCTAACAAATACCAGATTCCTGAAGTGTATGGAACCGGACTGCAGTTTAAATGTATCATTACTAAGTGTAGCCATTACAGTGAAATTCTTTAATTAGAAACAGAAAATCAACAGCTATACTCCAAAATAATAGAGGCATAACCAGTGCACGATACTTTTAATCAACCCCACAGCAAAAGTTTAAAATAATTAAAAATATCTCATGCAACTAATGCTGAAATTTCAACCAGAGACATCAACATAGATATTTGCCAACATACACAAAGGAACAGGTTTTCTTTGAAGCTGCTGTCTTCTTTAGGGAGCCTGCTTCTCTGGTGCAAGATGTACCAGACAAGGAATTTCAGAGAGTACTTGAGAATTAACTGACCCATTTCATTTTTAGAAGGCTGCAAACAGATGACAAATTAAAAAGAATATCTAACAAGAAGCCTGCCACAAAGACTGAAAATTCTTGGGAAAAAGAAGTCAGTATGTTTTCTGAAAACTGAATTAATTGATTAAGTGTTTGAAGTGGGTGTGTGCGCACACACCCTTTCAAATCAGTGAAGATTCTTGTAGTTTTCAAGGAAAGACTTTTAAAGTTGCTTGTCATTGCCTACTTCCTAGGGCTGAGAGAATGACTGGCCCAAGGTCACCCAGGCTGATTTTATGCCTAAGGTGGGACTAAAGCTCACAGGTTTCTAGCCTGGTGCCTTTAACCACTAACCAAACTGGCAGTCTATTTTAATGCAATGAGATAAAATACACAAATTAATCTCAAACTCAACTTTTGTGTTTTGGGACTGGACAACTCCAAATCCTATTATATAATGTGTTTTAGAAACCAATTTTATATTGCTTTTCAAATATTCTATAAATCATGAATTGTAATTTGATCTTCTGATCATTTTTAGGGAGGGAAATTCAACAGTCATTAAAAGATGAAATAAATTATTTTTCTTTTAAAAACACATAGGAATAAATATTCATGCTCAATTTAAAAAGATCATAATTTAAATTTCTTATGACAATGAAACCAAAAGTCCACAAGAATCAGGGGTTTCCAACCTTGGCAACTTTAAGTCTGGCGGACTTCAACTCCCAGAATTCCCCAGCCAGCTGGCTAGGGAATTCTGGGAGTTGAAGTTTTCCAGGATTAATGTTGCCAGGGTTGGGTACCCCTGCACGAGATGAATATTGTACTGTAAAAGACAATAGAATTTTTGAATAAGATTTTTTTCTTCTCTGTTCCAGCGGTTTAGCACCTTGGAAGCATACAGTAAGGATACCAAGATGGAGACTATAGTTATAGTGATTGGGACCATATATGTTTAATATTTTTCCAAAGAAATACCATTACCTATAAACAGTCCAATTTACAGAAGAATCCCATTGGTTCTTGTAGTTTCACCAAAGTATTTAAAATTATTTCTACAGAAGGATAGATCAGATTTTTTTAAATTAAAGCTTCAATGAATCTAATGTCATTGCTTGAGGTGTTAGATACAATGGGTTTTACAATAAACCTTTCATCAAACACTATAGAAAATTTAATGCATATACCATAAACTATAAAATAGATAAAAGGGAAAAGAAGTAAAAGAGACTGGTCAGGAGTAGCATATCACTATAAGGCAGATAACGTTTAGTGAAGAGGCTGTTATCATGCAGTGGATTCATTTGGAGTGATAGTAATGCAAAATATAATTATATGTGGATGTTTTGTATATATTATGCTGATATTTACATGAAACTTGTTTTATGTATTTTTTTTTTTTATTCACTCTGTAGCTCCCACTGTTATTACATGTTTTACAAGAGGATATGATCTTAGAAAGGATCCAGCAGATGTTATCTGTCCAGCAAATTGTCATATATGGCAGTTCTACGTCTATGGAAACATTGAGTATGCCTCTGAATCAAGTATCTGTGGAGCTGCTATTCACAGGTAAGGTTTATTATCAGTCATGCAATAGAAATTATGAATGAATAGTAGGAATGATAGGAAATTAAGAATGAACGGAACATGTAACTGTGCATGACCTGAAAGCACAGGAAGAATTAAAATAGATCTTAGAAGAATTAAAATAGGAAAAAAATAAAATAAAATAAAATAAAATTTTAAATTAAATTAAATTAGATCATGGAATACATAAAATGGAAATAATTAAATAAAAATAATTATTTTATATTATTAAAAACTAGGAAGAATTAAAATACATCTTGGACTGGTATCTGGCTAGGAAATAAATGAGAATCCTTTATGTATAGCTGTAGCTTAATTCTTTGAATCAAGAGACTATAAGATCAGACTGAAGGCGGCGTAGTTCTAGGTTTTCTGAGTCTAGAATTTCGAGTCTGGTGGCATAAGATATTCTGCAACGAGTAAAGGAGTGGACAACTCTTCTTGTGAAATATTTCTGGACTTTCTCAACTGTGTTAATATCAGATACGTAATGTGGGTTCCAGAGTGATGAGCTGTATTCGAGTATTGGTCTAGCAAATGTTTTGTATGCTCTAGTTAGTAGTGTAATATTACCAGGGAAAAAGCTACATAAGATTAGGTTAACAACTCTTAATGCCTTTTTTGCTATGTAGTTACAGTGGGCTCTAGCACTTAGATCATTAGAGATGAGTACTCCAAGATCCTTGACAGAGTTTGGATCATCAACAAGGTCTTGACTATTCAGCCTGTATTTTATTTTCTGATTATTATTATTTTTGCCAATATGTAAGACAGAGCATTTATTTGTTGAGATTTGAAGTTGCAATTTGACCATTCTGATACCTGGTCGAGGTCTTTTTGAAGGGTAGCAATATTGTATGTGGTGTTGAATAGCTTTACATCATCAGCAAAGAGAACGCAGTTGCTCTTAATATGATCACAGAGGTCATTTATGTAGAGTATGAAGAGAGTTGGTCCTAGAACACTGCCTTGGGGGATACCACTGTACAGAATTTGATAGGACACTCCCATCATGTCACTTTCTCCATCCTCCCGCATCCATGTCAGTGTAGAAAAAATTGCCATAATATGCCCTGCAAAGCCTTGTTTAATTTTCTCCTATGGCAATATCACTACATCCAGGACCTGTTGCTCAAAAGTGTTGCAAGAAGGGATATATCGAGTCCAAATTTACCATCATAAACTCGGTCCATCTTCTTTTTTGAATCTCTCACATCAGAGTGATACAAATATTACATCATATCATGTGCTCATTAGGTGAAAGTCATGTGAAACCTCATATATGAAGGCATGAGGTAATGTAATTTCTGATCTAAAAAGTTAAAAAAAGGAAGGTTGATACATTTTTCAAAAGTTTGAAGAAATTGGTTTGAAGAAAGAAAGTACAAATATAAAACAATAATTGAATCATTGGATTCTGGGCAGCCAACTTTTACATTCATGAACTTTTCAATGAACAAACGTTCCAGCTATTTTTACATTACTTGAATGTGATTCTCCATTGAGAAACTCATTGGATTGATCTCTAGATATAAGAGGAATATGAGAAATTATAGATACATAAGGGCAATAATGTTAGTCTATTAGAAATAGTATGTTTTTGTAGGACAGAATAACATGCTATGTATAGAGAGGCATGGAGATGAGGGAAAAAGTGAGAACCTGAATATTATAAAAACTAAAAGGGGAAAAGCATTTATTTTATTTTATTTTATTTTTTTTTGACACCCAACATGGGGCTCGAACCCATGACCCTGAGATTAAGAGAGGAAAGCATTTCTTGAGTCCTTGGAAATGACATCATATTAGGAAGAGACTCAGGGTGACTGTTCCCTGCCCTCCCGAGCTCCGTTTCATAGAAGCACCATGGGCCAATCCTTCACTGTAGGATGGCCCTGTGGGCTAGATCTAAGCACCCTGCAGGATGGATCTGGCCCATGGGCCTTGAGTTTGATGCCCCTGCTCTAGAGGTTACAAAAAAGTTCTGGAAGAACAACATGCAGACTAAGTACTGCAATGTAGCCATCTCTATTTTACGATTAAGCATGCTTATGAACCTGGGCAATTATTTCACAGTCTGTGACATGTTGATGGAGCAGTTCTTACTTTTAGCATGAACAAATGCAGCATACTACAAAGAGTAGTAGTTGTGTGCACTTTATTTGTACAGTACTTGCATTTGAAAATCTTATTTTGCTGCAGAGGTGTGATCACCAGTTCAGGTGGGACTGTAAGAGTGAAGATGTTACCAGGGCGTGAGAACTATTCTGCAATATATGCCAATGGAATCCAATCCCAACTCTTCTCTAAGTCAAGATCATCATTTTCAGTAGCTAGTAAGTGGATGATTTATTTTCTCAAAAGTTTTAGAAATTAACCCAGCATCTTGAGATGATGGATTTTGTAACTGAACCATTCTTGCTGTTAAAAAAAATAAATCAAAATCTTCCTTTTGGCTGCTTGGGATGAACCTATGTTCAGAAAAGAACAACTTTATTTCAAATATATATAATATAATTGTCATATTTTTTCTTATTGCCCTGTTATCAAACAAAAAAGGTTCAAACATAATTTGCTATTGATTAATATGAATGTCCTTATATGACATTTTTAGACATGGAAATAACATAAAATATACTCTTACAGTGTAAAAAACAGAGACATGTTTGATTGCAGAAACTTCTCAGTTATAACTTGAATTTAGATCATATATTTCAACCGTATATGTATCTTTTATTTTTCTTTAGGACTCAACTTTCCTAAAGTTGTGTGCTTGGCTCCCAATAGCTTAGAGCCAATTCATATTTGATCAAAGCAGAAATTAGAAGCTAAAGTACATTTTTTACTTTCTCTATTATTAGACCCTTCAACTCTATTGGAATGTTAGTTAGAGAATATCCAAGAGAAGGGAGAAGTCCATGCTGGCTCCAACCTTCCTTTCCTTTCCCATGTCAAAAATAAGCTTCTGTGATGGGAAGTCTTTGCGATACAGTACTTTTACAAACTATTGTACAAAATACTATATTCCTTTATAGAGATTTAATTGTAGTACAAAGAATGATGAGATGTGTATTTTGATTATTTTACTATGTTACATTAAATAGAAAGAAAGTACTTATGGGAAGTGGTACTTAGATATGGGAAATACCACAGCATCATAAAGATGTGCAATAAATAAAATTAACTGTAGTTTTTCTACTATGTTGATTCTGATAACAGTATACTATCAGCAAGAGACTCATAGAAGGATGAAGGAAGAGGATGCAGAGAAAGAGGAAAATGCTTCTCTGAGATTTAGCACAGCTTTAGATTTCAGCTTGCTTGTAATTTACTTTCCCAAGAAAAATTGGAATAATTCACAAACTCAACCTCTTTTACATCTTTTGAGAGCAGGGCAATAAATTTGTTTTATTTTTCGATGTGATAATAGATGTTAAAGGTGAAGCCCTTGAAGCAGCTGGGCATCCTATTTCAACAGCACGGCCATTTGCAGGTAAAAAAAATCAATAAAGAATATGTCTTTTTCCACCAAAAGCTTCTCAGGAAATAAGCAATTTTACATGTATTCTTTCATTTTTGTAAAGTATATTTAACAGTATGAAGATGATAGAATACATATAAAATCCGAAAGGTACTTTTGAAAAAGCAACTGGACTTTCTTGATTCAGTTCTTGAAACTGAAGAAGTTTCTTAGATGAGAAACAAAACGTTTTCAAAGAAGGGGAAAATCCAGTTGCTTTTTCAAAAGCACCTTTGAGACATCCATGACTTGGATGATTGAGAATCATCATAAACAATACATATACATATTTTCCCATATGCAAGAGAATCTAGGATGTGTGGGGTCTGCTACAGACACCTCACATCCTGGACATAAATTGTTTCGACTTCTACCCTCAAAACAACGCTATATAGGGCACTGCACACCAGAATAAGTAGACACAAGGACAGTTTTTTCCCAAATGCCATCACTTGCTAAACCAGTAATTCCTACAACACTGTCAAACTATTTATTAAGACTGTATTACTATTATTATTCTCATCCTTCCTATTACCTATCTCCTCCCACTTATGACTATAACCTTGTTGCTTGTATCTTTATGATTTATATTGTTTTATTTAGTTTCCTAGTTTGATTTGGTTGATTATTTAGTATCCTATGACTATCACTGTGTTCTTTCTTATGATTCTTGATGAATGTTTTTTTTTATGTACACTGAGAGCATATGCACCAAAGACAAATTCCTTGTGTGTCCAATCACACTTGGCCAATAAGGAATTCTATTCTATTCTATAAGGATGCATAGAAGAGGGCAGAATATTTTCATGTTTAGTTGATGACACTTTATTGCCTGTATCAAAATATAGAAAGTTAAATTATGTTTGTTTCTTTTTTTGAGGGAAACGATCTAAAAAACCTGTTGTGAAAAAGTCTGGAAACAAAGGTAAGTTATTATCATATACCACATAAAATAAATCTCTAAAATTATTGTATCATTTTGTTAATAAACTATTTTGCATGTTCATAGATTGTCAAGCTGATATTGCTTTCCTGATTGATGGAAGCTACAATATTGGGCAGCGTAGATTTAATTTGCAGAAAAACTTTATTGGGAAGGTGGCAATGACGCTAGGAATCGGAACTGAAGGCCCACATGTGGGAGTAGTACAAGCCAGGTATGAGAAATATGTTCTATTTGGAACATTCTCCTTCTTAAGTGCTATGATTTCTAGCATTATACTTTGCTTAGAATCTTAGAGTTTCAACTGACCGTTTGGACTAACTCTATGCCTAATGGAGAAATCCAAATTAAAGGGTTTCTGGTAGAAGCTTTCCTTGACTTTGCTTTGACGTTGCCTATGTTTCCTATATATCCCATTTTTCCTTAACTCAGAACTCTTAAATGCTTAAAAATTCAACTATCCATAACTTCAAATGCCACAAAATAGATATTGCTATTGTTGCAAAGTGAAGAAAACTCTGGGTATTTTATAGTTCAGTAACCATATCTAGCACACAGCTGTTGGAACTACATTCAACAAAACATTGTAGTAGAGTGTTTCTGTTTAGCATTTCAAGCTTGCTGCTCATTCCTTCAGGTTTGTGAAAGCTGCTTTAATCAAATCCTTGTCCCTTGAACTTCATAATGAGGAGTTGGAATGTAGCTACTTCAGTGCCCTGCTGATCCTAAGTTTTAGCCTTGGGTATATGATACTGAAAGAATTTTAGGTTAAAATAACAAAACATAAGTATTCTTATTTGGTATAGTATTTTCAAATGGAATTCAATACCGCAGAGCAGTTCTCTTTAACTTAAAAGTGCTTCTTACAATAGCATTATTTTTTTATTTGGGTATGAATTTGGGATCATTGGTGTGCAAGTGTCTTTGTTGCCATTAACAAGCAGGCTAAAAATATATTTCAGATCAGTGGGAGATTTTTATTCATATTCCTGTTTCTGGTCTGTGACTGTCTAGGGTGATAATTTTCTTGACAATTGTTTTAAGGGTTAGAGAACATAAGGAATCCTATAATTTATACTCCTTTCCTGTAAAACTTGCAATGGCTGTGATAGTCAAAAGTGTAGGATATTTCCTTGCAACTGTTCCCAAATAATAAAGTCTACTGTCCTCACTATCTATTACCTAAACAATGGGGGTTACTTTAGGAACAAAATAAAAATAAGCTGATTTTAAAATACACATAGAATAAAATGCCCAAAACATCTGGAAGAGTTTAGCTGCTTGTTACCAAGTTGATGAGTTAGCCCATAAAACTTTCAGGCACAAAAGAATTACTGCAATTATATTTGTTGACTGTACTAAGACCACTAATGTCTCATCCAAGGGAATTAATAGAATTTAGGCTTCAAAATAAACAATTTAAAAAAAAATAGAGAGAGCCAAGGAAAGTTTCATATTTTAAGGCAGTTAATAGTGGAAAAACACAGACAAGTGATTAGGCAGGGCAGGAACTAAATTGAAAATAGCACTTCTTAAATTAGATGTGTTTTTGCTTGACACCTATCCAATGATTATGGTCCATTTGCAATATTATGGTGGCGAAAATCTGAAAAATAGGCTCAACAGGTGTTTGGCAAAAAATTATTGAAATGAACCAAGTACTTTTTAATACATAACTTTGCTCTGGGGTAACTAAAAATATTTTAAAAAGAAAAATACATTCTTGTGTTGACTACATCCATGCATTTTTCTTGGCAATTTTAGGAATGGCAGGGTGTTGAAGTATGTTTATAACAAATTATGATAGGGGAGAGATCAGGCTTTTTTCTTCCACGCTTTTAAACATTAGCTCTTTTCCTTTCTTATCCCCAATTAATTTCCTACAGTAGATTTCTGTTTTTCTATCCTCGAAAGTTTCTGTGTTTAACAATCTTTACTCTTCACTTCACCTCTCTGTTCTTATTACTCCCTAATTATAGCTCAGTTAACTCTTTCTTGACACTTGCTACTTTACAACCCAACCCATGACTTTTTATTATTTTTACATCTCCCACTCCCTCTCCCTCCCTTCCCCTCCCTCCCTCCCTCTCTCTCTCTTACTTTGTACTCTCTTACAAAGGTACATTTGTATATCTGTATTACAGAATTTGTTGCTGCAAAGAAAAAAGAAGAAGGGTGTTTGTTCTGTTACTCTCACCTGGAACTATTTTGTGCAGAGAGGAGTGAACACTCCTGACTGACAGGAGAGATGGGACAGAAAGTCAGGGAGATAATCCTGACAGAAATATGCAAAAAAAAAAAAAAGTTACTTAGGCAAAAAGGACCTAAACCTATTTTTTTATAAGTTCTGGGAGACAATATAATTTTCAGAAGCAGCTCAGATGTTTGCCTCTCTGATTGACTAAACTATAAGAAGGAAGAGAGGTAAAGCACAATCAGTTTTGCAAGATGCTGTTATTGCTGGCAAAAAGTATAGGTCTTATCTTCCTTTGGAGATGATTCTCTGCTCTGGTCTACCTGGTGGGTATGAAGATGGTTTCCAATAGAAGAGAATAATTGTAACTCAGGGTTGAACTGGGGTCTGTAGTGCTCTCTGAGCTTGATTATTTTCTTGCAAATGTTTCATTATCCAACTAGGCAACATCACAGGGTCCTGGTAATGAAACTGTAAGCTCAGAGAACACTAAGGATCCTGACAATAATTTATTTCCTCCTTTGCTGAAGATGGGTTCTCTATGGGTGTGCCAGTTTTAGTGAATCTGTCAAAGAACTGAAGAGCTACCAATAAATCTGGAGATATAGTTGGAGTCCTGGTGGAAGATGAAGGGACTACAGTATTTATACAGCCTACCACCTTGCTCCCAGAAAGTGGCTTGCAAACAAAACTGATTGCAATCAACTTGTTTAGTAAATCCACATAATGCTTACAATATATTAACTTTGTTAAAGAATTCATTGGCCATTCTAATCAGCCATGACTAGGTGGCATGCAACTCCCCAGACCTGTAATCTTGGATTAAAAATTCTCACAAAAGATCTAAAAATTTTTAAAAAATACATTGTAAGTCAGGAGGTCCTTGTTTAATGACTGCTTGCACTTAGCGATGAGAAAATAACCTCATAACTGGTTCTCTCATTTACAACCTTTGCAAGTTCGTAAGATAAAGGAAAGCTGGAGTAAGATCATAATCACAGTTGCAATTTTCCCTAGTGACTGTTTTGCTTAGTCAGCCAGCCAGCCAGCCAGCCAGTCAGTCAGTCTCCTAGAGCAAACCAAGGCCCATCTTAATCTATCATGTAGTTTCTCAAGATGGCCAGTCAGGTATTTCTTGGCTGATTACAATTAGGCTCCAGATCCTTAGAACAAGGTTTCACAAATGATTCTGCACTTGCAAGTCTATAAATGAACTCAATGGTAATTACCTTTTAATTAATATAAATTGATCCAGAAAACAACCCTGACTGTTCTTTGGAAGGATACTGAAGCACTCATTTAGTGGCTGAAGTGCAAATACTTCAGCCACTAAATGAGAAGAGAGGACTCATTGGAAAAGACCCTGATGTTGGAAAAGATGGAAGGCAAAAGGAGACGGCAGATGACAAGATGGTTATATAGTGTCATCAAGCAATGAACACGAATTTGGGCAATCTCTGGGAAACAACAGAGGATGAGGGGTGGAGGACATGGCCCTGCTATGGTCCATGGTCTCGCAAAGAGCTGGGCACAACTTAATGATTGAACAACAGCAGCAAATGTGGAATCAAGTTGTTTCTATATAAAAAGTGAATGAGAATTGTATTCATATCAAATTGTTGCATGCCACACATCTTTGTTCATGTGTTCTTTTCCCAGTGATTATCCCAAAACTGAATTTTATCTGAACAACTACACTGCTTCAAAAGATGTTTTATTTGCAATAAAAGAAATAGCTTTCCAAGGAGGCAATTCCAATACAGGTAATTCTTGTCCATGCATGTCAAATATAACAAATATTTTATAATATACTATTAGAATTATTCTATTTCTAACTTTTAACTGGGTGAAACAATGTATCATAGGGCAAACCTTTTGGTACCATAAACGGGCTAACTTGAAGACTGCATTCAAACTTTCACATGTGTGACTCCTGTGGAATTAAAATTTGGCAAATTTCATAGTGTTTTATGACAAAAAAAATACCATAAATGTCATAAAACATTTCCCGTGGTAAGCTTCTGATTTTTGATTGTGCCATACAATTTAACATGGGTTACTTTCAAGGCAGATACATCGGTAAACATTTTCCTACATTTATAGAATTTTTCCAATATATTAAAAGCTAGGAAGGGAGAAAGGCAAAGAAAGGAAGGGAGGGAGGGAAGGAGGAAAGAAGGAGAGAAAGAGGAACAGAGAGAAGGAAGGTTTCTAATGTTCACTGCCAGTTTCCCACAAAAAAATTCAATATGGAATCTGACAGAAAGTTGGAAGTGGCTCCATTCCTGCTGATTATTTTTTTTTGCTTGCCTATGGTCATTCTGTTTCTCTATTTAGGTAAGGAATTGTCTCTGAAACAGTGACCCAATGGGGCACAGATGTATGGATTAGTATGGATTAAACCTAGCATTGCATGTATGGAGATATTCATATAATGAATGGGTCTTTCCCCTTCTCTCTTGGTTCTTGCATACCCAAGTCCAAATCTGTTCCCCAACTCAGCTAAACAGAATTTGAGAGTGAACAGTAGTAATGGGAGGGGGGAATGGATAGTTATTTTTCTCCATTTTTTTTGGTGGAAAACTTTCCTTAGTTGGAGGAATTAATTTATCATGTGTGAATGAAAATTTCATTTCATATGAGTTGTTGTCACATGTGAAACTTGGCACTGGAATGACTGTCAAATCCTATTAATATTCTAAATAATGAAAATAATTTTATGTAATTTGCACCACCATAAAATGTAAATAGGTCTACTTGTTATACAAAAAAATTACAAATAATTCTATCATTTATTTTCATGGTAATTCCTTAAATAAGATCTTTCTTTTTAGATATTAAACAGATATTAAACACATATCCTGAATTTTATTGTACTGAGAATAATTTCATTCTTTTTTCCCCCTCCCTATCAGGAAGAGCTTTGAAACACTCAGCACAAAGATTTTTTTCTATCGAAAAAGGGGTACGCAAAGGCATCCCTAAAATCATTGTAGTTTTCTTAGATGGCTGGCCATCAGATAATTTGGAGGAAGCTGGTATATTGGCTAGAGAATTTGGTGTTAATGTATTCTTTGTATCAATTGCAAAGCCTACATCTGAAGAACTGGGGATGGTTGAAGAACTAAATTTTATTGAAAAGGTAAGAAGAAAAATCTCTTACTATGTTTGCATTAATATACAGTCAGAATAGCCATTTTAGTTCTGATTAAATAGTGTAATATCTTAATGCATAAGTGGACAACATCAGCAACAAGTCACCTTCCTAGCTGTATAGATTGCTGCAGAGGGTAATGTGGTATTTGATGTCACTAGAAAGCATGAAGTCATTTTTTTTTCATTCAATTTTTCCAGGGTTTGGGTTTTTTTAAAAACTGGGATTAAAATTGGAATTGGACTACCTCCACCCCTGGCTTTACAGAAGCTGAAAAAATGGCCTAAATCGATTCCATCGAAATGTAATTATTTTGGAAATTTAGATTTTTATTTTTAGAAAAACTGAGTAGGAAGGGACCTTGAAGGTCTTCAAATCCAATCCCCTGCTTAGGCAAGAAACCCCATATCATTTCAGATGAATGGTTGTCCAATCACTTCTTGAAAACTTCCAGTGTTGGAGCATTCACAACTTGTGGAAGCAAGTTATTCCACTGATTAATTGTTCTAACTGTTAGGAAATTCTTCTTACTTCTAGGCTGCTTTTCTCTTTCATTAATTTTACTGATGAATTTCAACATTATGCTCTGGAGATGCTAGACACAGGTTATAACTTACCCAAACTGAACTTCATAAACATACTTAAAATATCTATGAAATTCTAAGCTAAGACTTTTTTATACCTCCCCTGTAGACAGACCCTTAATAAATCAACAAGAATAAACCAACATGATAATGCCAACCACATATTGCCAAATTAAAGCAAAATGGGTAAATGATAAACGGTGGGGATGGATGGGAGAGCATTAAACAGCACACCAATCCCCAAAAGGCTATGGAACAGCTGGCTCTTAGAAGGCTTCCTAAACACAGGATGAGTACCATGCATCACAAGCAAGCCTTGGTAAAGGTTCCCCACCTACATATGTGCTAGTCATTCCCGACTAGGGGGTGGTGCTCCTCTCTGTTTCCAAAGCCGAAGAGCCATCACTGTCTGAAGACGTCTCCATGGTCATGTGGCCGGCATGACTAAATGCCAAAGGCACACGGAATGCTGTTACCTTCCCATCAAAGGTGGTCCCTATTTTTCTACTTGCATTTTTATGTGCTTTTGAACTGCTAGGTTGGCAGATGCTGGGACAAATAATGGGAGCTAACTCTGTTATGTGGCATTAGTGATTCGAACTGCCGAACTGCCAATCTTTCTGTTCGAAAAGCTCAGCTTCTTAGCCACTGAACCACTGGTTTTGGTATTACACAAAAATCCATTTTGCACATGTGCTAAAACTCATGCCTTTTATTTTGTTTTTAAAAACAGGCAGTCTGTCAAAATAATGGATTCTTTTCCTATAACATTCCTACTTGGTTTGGTACCACAAAACACGTGAAACCTCTTGTTCAAAAACTCTGTGCACATGAACAAATGTTATGCAGCAAGACTTGCTATAATTCCGTCAACATAGCATTCCTCATAGATGGCTCTAGCAGTATTGGTGACAACAATTTCAACCTCATGCTTAGATTTATTAGTAATGTTGTCAAATCATTTGACATCACAGATATCGGTGCCAAAATTGCAGTTATTCAGTTCACTTATTCTCAGCGCATAGAATTCAGCTTTACAGACTACAAAACAAAGGAAAAGGTTCTTTCAGGTGTTCAAGCAATCCGCTATATGAGTGGTGGTACTGCTACAGGAGAAGCTATTACCTATGTAACCAAAAACGTGTTTGCACCTGTGAAAGATGGAGCCAACAAAAATTTTCTGGTACTTTTGACTGATGGCCAGTCTTACGATGACATCCGAGGGCCTGCAACTACTGCTCATAAAGCAGGTAATATTTATTGTCTCCGTCAAAGAAATAATGATTCAACATACCATACTTCAGATCTGAGGCATACTTTGCTTGTTTTTTTTAATAATTTACACTTCTCGGACCACCCACTCACCAGTGATTCTGGGCTGTACATCAGAATTAAAACAGAGAAAACAATACTTTAAAATGACAAATAGGTCATATTGGGAAGAGTAAATAATCTGTGTGTGTGTGTGT